GTGAAAGTAAACTCGCACAGAATCTACCTCACTCTCTCACCACTCCCAGACCTGTACCCGGTGTCAAGACAAAAGTGGAGAAGACCCGAGATGGGGGAGGGCGCAGGTGGCTGGCGCGGCCAACAACCCAATACGCGCCACAGCAACACTTTGCTAAGCCGCCGCTTAAGTGGCAGTGCCACATTAAAAAAGAGCCATTGCAGCCTGACTCTCAGTCCGCCAGTCAGCCACTCCACACACAGCAAGACATACACTGGACCGACAGCGCGGTTCGAGTTGTCCCGTAAGTTGGCAACCCTACAAGCCGCAGCTTTTAGCGTACCACGATAGCTTCGAGCGCGTCAGATTGTTTATAGTGAGGGAGAATATGCGCTAAGGGTCGACCTCACTCTCTCCATCACCGCTAGCATCAAGCCACCGGCAGGCGGGAACACTGCAACCTACTAGTCGGAAAATGAGCCGACGGGCTGTAAAAATTATGAAGTCGACGGAGCGAATGGAGACAAACAGGAGTCAATCAAAGATGCTGGACAGAAGATCACAAGCCCAAAATGTGAGTGATTATTCTGGAGGCATTCTCTCGATTACCGAATCCCCGCCGAGTAGGCTCCGCTCACAGACCACAATCAAAAACCCTTCTATTGTTGGCCAAAATCGTGCGAGGGTGAATCCAGATTTTTGCGCGGCACAGGCTTTGACACCGAATAACAAACTCGGTTGGTGACAACTTCTGCCAGCCAGTAAAGGTCCTGGTGATCATTTTCGTCTTCTCGGATTATCACTGTCGACCCATTACTTTCGCTTAGCTGACCTGGAACTGTTGCGGACAACGTAAGTAATCTGATAACAGTACAGCCTCCAGAAAGCCCAACAATTTTGTACTTCGTATCGGAAGGAGGAACTACATTTATAATTAAAACCGTACTACATAGAAATGAGAACGGAGGAACAAGTACGGAGTTGGATGGTAAGGGAATGTCGATGATAATCAGGCAGGAAACTGCGAGCCCATGTAGTCCTTAGTCATTTGATCACCTGACTCTGAAAAGC